ATTGTTTGTTGCAGGTATATAGAAACACAAATGATTTTTGTGTTGATCTTATACCCTACAACTGTGCTTACTTTATTTACTAGCTCTAGGAGCTTTCTTGTGGATTCTTTATATTTCAAATTATGTCATCTATGGATGGAGATAGTTTTTACCTCTTCCTTTCAAATGTGGGCATCTTTTATTTCTTAATTTTTTCCTCTTTATTGATTTTAGAGAGAGAGGGAGAGGGAGAGATAGAAACATCAATGAGGGAGAACATCGATTGGCCACCTCCTGCATGCCCCCCACTGGGGATTTGGCCCACACCTATGCATGTGCCTTGACTGGGAATCGAACTGGTGACCTCTTGGTGTCATTGCTCAACCACTGAGTCACACCGGCTGGGCTATTTATTTTTCTTATCTAATTGCTCTAGCTAGGACTTCCAGTCCAATGCTGAATAGTAGAGGTAAAGGTGGGCTTCCTTGTCTTGTTCCTGATCTTGGGTAGAAAGCTTTCAGTCTTACCATTGAGTATGATGACAGCTGTGGGTTTTTTTTTTTAATGCCCTGTTCCTAGTTTTCTGTTTTTATTGTGAAATGGTGTTGATTTTGTCAAATTACTTTTTTTGCATCAATTGAGATGATCATGTGTTTTTCCCCCTCTCGTTCTAGTATATAGATTGATTTTCTTATGCTGAACTATCTTTGTATTTCTGGAATCTTCCTCTTTCTTCACTTCCTCTTTCATTTTGATGGAGCACATCCTCCAATGGCTTTCTGAGAAAAGGTGAAGAGGAGGTAAAAGTTTGAAATTTGGCTATTTTCTAGGCAATATTCTCAACTTTATCTTTCAATCTTATATTCAATTATTTTATCTCTGCAATCACATTTTACATTTCCAAAAGTCCTTTCTTGTCTCTCAATGTTTTCTTTTTTTCTTTCTTTCTTTCTTTCTTTCTTTCTTTCTTTCTTTCTTTCTTTCTTTCTTTCTTTTTTTTTATAGCAGCCATGGCTGGTTGAGGATTTAGCTTCTGACAATTGGAAAAATAAAGTCTTCTACTGTGATGGTTAGGAAAGAAGGAAGGATAGATGTAGGTGGAAGGAGCCTGGCAGATGAGGAGGCAGGAAGGTGGGGTTATTTCTTCTGATGACTTCCATTTTCTCTGTGACATAGATGGCAAGGACATCAATTGAGATAACAGGGAAGGTAATGGGGTAGGAAGTTTCAGGAGCATAAAAAAAGAAGTCAAAACTAACCCCCTCGCCCTGGCCAGCGGTTAGAGCGTCGGCCTGCGGTCCAGAGAGACCCGGGTTCGGTTCCCGCTAAGGGCAAGTACCTCGGTTGCAGTTTGTCCCTGGCCCTGGTTGGTCATGCAAGTGGCAGCCACTCAATGTGTCCCTTTCACGTCAATGTTTCTCTCTCTCTCTCTCTCCCTCCCACTCTATCTGAATGAAAAATGTCCTCGGGTGAGGATAAAAAAAAAACAAACTCACCCCCTCCAAACCCCAGCTGCTTCATGGGCAGCCCCGAGGGTTCACACTGAAGCCAGAGACTATCAGTCAACCATAGCAATCCCTCCGCTTAGATAGGTCCCTGGTCCAGGTGTGGAGAAGACCCGCTCTTAGACAGCTCCATGGTTGGTCTTCTAGCCAAGTGGTCTGGAAGAGCCGCAGGGCAAAGGAATTAGGGATATTGACAAGAAAGGGATTGAGCCCTGGCCGGTTTGGCTCAGCGGTTAGAGTGTTGGCCTATGAACGAGAGAATCCCAGGTTTGGTTCCCACTAAGGGCATGCACCTCGGTTGCAGTTTGTCCCTGGTCCTGGTTGGGGTTGTGCAGGAGGCAGCCACTCGATGTGTCCCTTTCACATCAATGTTTTTCTCTCTCTCTCTTCCTCTCTCCCTCCCACTCTATCTGAACAAAAATGGAAAAATGTCCTCGGGTGAAGATTAAAATAAAAAAGAAAGAAAGGGGTTGATGTGATTGAACTTGGCCTTTCTGCTCCTTTCCCATCTGCTCACGCAGCTTCTGGGAGCCTTAACGAGTTCTAACGGTTCAGCTTGCTATATCCCCACCTGAAACTTTCATGTCATTTTAAAAACTGAAGGCTTTGTTGGATTTTCTGCCCTCACCATTCACAAGCTGTCAAGGATCAGGCCTTTTCACACTGTTCTCGGAGGGCTCCCATTGTTTATACTGCTTCGTGTACACCCATTTATATTTATTCTTTGTCTCTTATCGTTAAAATAAAATAAAAACAGTCTTTAGGACCCCGACAGCAAAGAGAATGCTTTCTTGTCTTCAGTAATGGTACTATTGATATTCACTTGGTGTTTTCTGGATATTGCACCATGAAAACAGAACAAACTCTGACTGCATATCATTCAGGTGTTCAAGTTTATTTATGTTGTTTCAGCACACTGACAAAGCACACCACATTTTGTTTGTAACTTTTTCTCCCTCAAGAGTTGAGTCACTTTATCTTAAACCAGAAGATTCTCTTAAAGAACACACACGTGTGTGCGCACACGCGTACACACACACACACACAGCAAGTACAAAAACCTAACTCCACCAAAGTGCATGTGAATGAAAGTGCAAACAGGCTTCATTATCAAACTCTGGGATCATTCTCTCTGCTTCAAAAATCCAACAGAAAGGTCCCACTGACCTCGGCCAGGGCTGGGCGAGGCTGCTGGGGCAAAGGGTAAGTCTGCCTGCTGCGGGAGAGCCGGGCAGAGGTCACGTGGCACTGCCACCAACTCCCTCCGCTCACCGTGCTCCCAGGTCAAGGTGCGATGATCTCATTTGGGGACAGGATGGGTGTGAAGGGGTAGTGGGGTGGACAGAAGGCAGATTTCGTTCCCCTTTCTAATGATTTGGTTTCTTTCCAGAGAGTTGGACATTGGTGCATAAAGTGCTGAGTCCAGAGTTTAGGGGCTTGGGGCCCCTTTTCTCCAAGGCCCGTGGCCCACCCTGCCTCTTCGTATTAACAGGTAGTTGGTAAATCCGCACGGCAAAGCCATCCCAGCCCTGCTCAGCAGTGTGTACTTGCCTTCTCCTCACACCCCAAGCTCAGGCATCTCTCCGCAGTCTCAGACGAGGGCAGAGAACTAGTGAGTTTTGCCACCACCCAAGCAACCGAGACAGAGGGTTCAGGCTTCCCTGCCTTCCTCCTGCCACTGGGGACACCAGCGTGACCTCCGTGAACCCAGCCCGCAGCCTGGCGCATGGCCTGTCCGCTTCCTCCCTGGAAGGTGGTGCTCAGAGCTGCCTCGGGGGCTGCACGGGAGTTCGATGGTGGGGGAGGTCCCTTGTGGGGGAGGGCCCCCTACTAGGCAGGGACAGGAAATCAACTGAACTTCGGGGTTCCCTCTCCTATGGGAAAGATAAAGCTTCATATTTTAACAGTAATAGCCCTTGACATCTTCCCAACACGGAGCCTCACTTCAGTACCCTGTCAAACACTTTTGAGAGCATCCCTCCCCTCCCCCACGCACATGAACACACACATCACACGGCTGGCAGAGGGGTCTGGGGGAGGCCCCTGGCCCCATACCCTGCAGGCCCAGCTCAGCACCCCCTCCGTGTGGGACCCACCCCCAGGCTGCAGGCGGGTTTGGCAGTGGCTCACGGAGGCTAGGCCCCAATTGGACAGAAAGGTCAGAGTCCCAGAGTCCCAGCAGGCCCCCGGCTGGCAGTGCCACCCTGATGAAGAGTGGCAAGAAAGGCGTACGGGACACGGAGAGCTCAAAGATAGAATTCGCCTTTCCAACGCCCAACTTCAAGTCGATTTGTCAAACTCCTCAAGAGCAGAGCATGTAAGGGCCAGGTCAATGCGACATTATAGGGTGTGTGTGCTAGACAAGGTGCTATGCCCACAACAGGAGGCCTGGCAGGCATGCCCCCCTGACTCCCGCCACGCGCGGCACCTTGGCTGAGACCCATGGCTGCCCTGCCCAGCTCTGGGAGCCACCGTGCCCGCTGGAGCTGCTCCTCTGGCCAAAGATCTGAGATTGTCTGACGTACTCCTGGGCCGGCCTTGGCTCCCTAGCCAGCAGGCTGCCTCCTCCCCACACCTGACACAGCGCGTGCGTGGGGAACATCCGTGAACCTTAACCTCTGCTGCAGAGGCCAAACGCTCTCACCACCCACTCGGTTGGAAATGGGACTTGGCGAGGAACACTAAAAATGCCAAGTGGTCCAGAACTGGACATTTTTAAGAAGGCATCTTGGCTCAGAACCCCTCACTTCTGGGTAAAAGGGAGAAAGGTAGCCCGAGACTCCCATTGGATCCTATGAAAACATGTTTGTGGGGCTCACCCCCCCCCCAAGAGGAAGAGCCCGTGGGATCTGGCTGTGCCATGGCAGGGGGCACCGCTCAGGAACTGGGCAGCAAAACCAGGAGATCGGAGCGGGGAGGTGTCTTTTGAGTAAATGTGTTTGCGGCAGGGTCACTTCCTGGCAGGAGGAAAGGAGACAAGGAAAAAAGCACAGAGATGCCGGAAAGGGCCTCCCGTTCTGCCAGACTGTTCGTTTTTGTTTGTTTGTTTTTTGTGGTACGTGTCCCTAGCGGGAACCGAACCCGGGACTCCCTGGTCCGCAGGCCGATGCTCAACCGCTGAGCCAAACTGGCCAGGGCTACCAGACTGTTCTTCATCGCTAACCAAAAGACCCTTTGGTGATGAAACAAGTTGGCTAGAGAGGTGGGGCTGCCACAGGCAGGGCACCCCCAACCTACTCCATCAGTAACGTTCCCCCAGCCCGGTCACACCCTCGCTGGGCTGCCTGGTGGCAGGTGAGCTCCAGGGCTTCGGGGCTGAGACTCTGTCCTCCCCAGGGCTCCCCTGCTCCCATGTACCTTGTAGGAAGCAGCCCTGGAGAGAAGAGGGACCACCCCTGGTGAGATATAGAGGGTGGTGGGGCACAGGTGGGATAGGAGGAAGTCAAGTCAGGAAGGAAGCATCAGGTGCAGAGGGAGGCCCGGCTGGGGCTGGAGGAGGGCCCTGCCCTGAGCCCGTCACTTTAAGGTGTCATCGGTGTTTTTGAACATGAGAATGGCGTTATAGATCTTCAAGGCTGGGCCCAGCTTGACGCTCATGATCTTCACAATGTCCGCCTGTGTCAGCAAAAGGAAGGCCTCGCCGTCAATCATCTGAGGGGTGGGGGAGGAGGAGGAAAGCGGAGAAGGTGGAGAGGGGCATGGGGAAGGAGTGAAGGAAGTGGGCATGTGCGTGGGGGAGGGGAGAAGGAAAATTGGAGTACAGGATATATGGGGGAAGGAAAGGAGGTGGGAGAGGGAAAGAAGAAGGAAAGGGAGAAAGGAGAAGGGAGGAGAAAGGAAAAAAGGAAGACAGCAATGGGGACAGAGAAGGAAAGAAAAACATCCACTGGTGTCCCCATGATGACACACACTCTCTCTCTCTCTCTATTTCTGCTGACTGATCTGAACTTCAGAGTGTATTTGCATAATGTTTTCTGAGTCCTCACGGACAGTTGTCGCTGTCCCCACATGAACCCACTGGTCGATCTTAGTGCTGCTAACAGACATGTGGGCACTCCAACCAATGCATCACATTATCATCTATGAGTTATGAGACAGAGAGAAAGAGATGTAATCTGCAATCTAAATCTAACCAAGCCTTTGGACCTAACTTCCAGTCTATGGAAACACAGGGGAACAAGGTAAACACCACCACGAGGAAGCAATGAGTCAGACCCAGAAGGGCACTTTCTGTAAGACTTTTTCCAGTGGTTCCTGGAACATCACTCAGAGAGTTCTCATGGTCACTGCTGAGGCTGATTCTGGGTTCTTCAAAGCAAAGACTGGAGTTTACGGTCTAGCAGTTTGGAACTATGTCAGGGGACAGTGGGATTATTCAAGAACATACAAGATGTTGTATGTGGGCCAATGCATATGGGGAGTTCTGAGCTATCATCTCGGAAAAGGTCGTATTTGACCTTGATGGCAGAGGAAGTCATCAGGAAAATGAATTAAATGAGTCAAATGCAATAATCCAGTCTAAGCAATCGCCCAAGAGCTGTGGGTAGGCCCAGGGAATGTCCCAAGTTGTCCCTGGAAAGACCCCAGGGAGCCGCACCTGGCGTGTTTCACAGAGGCCCAGCTGAAATGGAACAAGCACTGTCCGAACCTGATGAGACGTCTGTGCTAGCGCAACAGAAAGGATGGCCCACGGGAGCCCAGGCAGAAGGGACACCCAGGGAGCAGGAGGTTGTCTGGGTTTATCCGGCTGCACGGCCAGCAGGGTCTGCGGCCCCTTCCTACCTGCTACCGGCAGCAGCAATTCACCAGTTATCTTGACTGGTGTCCCTGACTGCATCATTCAGCCAGAGACAACCCCACTCCCTGGGGAGACGGAGGACGTGGACCAGGCTTGGAGAAGGCAATCCTCAGCCCCCACAAAGGCCTAAACTGAGACCCCACTGGGTACCGTTGGTCCACCAGCACACCTTCCCCGCTCTGGCCGTTGCTTTTTTGTATCACAGAACATGTTAAACCGAGACATTCAGCAGATGTTCCCAGGAGAGACAACACTCCTCCCTACAAGGGGACAATGCAGAGCCCAGCACGGGATAGAGGATCAATCTCTTGGGTGGCTCAGCAGCTGGCTGAACAACTGTGCTCAAAGACTGGTCGTTCATGATCTGTTGTCACCTAACGGAAGCTCTCTAGTGGATACCACACGGTTCTGCTCTGTCCTATCAACCCTGGTGAAGACTTGGCTTGAAATACAGAAGGCTTAGTTATCAAGTGTACAGGTTGGATGAGGCTGGCAAGGCTTATTAACCAGAGGTGACAGAGTTGAGATTTAAAACAATGAGACTATGGAACCAACGAGGTACCATTTAATAGGTAGACATGTAAAGTCTTACATTAGCTTAATTAAAAAAAAAAAAAAAAGCCAGTGGTAAAAGTAGCACACTGGAAAATTTGGCTAAATTGTAATGGATGATTGAGTGATATAAAAGGCACTTGGGGACTTTCATGAACCCCAATCTGGTGTGATGTGGTTACAATAAAGCAAGCACAATTTTGAGTTTTGCTCACAAAAACATAGGGTTCAGCCTGGCCAGTGTGGCTCAGTGGATTGAGTCTGTCTCATGGACTGAGAGGTCCTGGTTTGATTCCCAGTTAGGGCACATGCCCAGGTTGTGGGCTCGATCCCCAGTAGGAGGTACAGAGGAGGCAGCCAATCGATGTTTCTCTCTCACATCAATGTTTCTATTTCTCTCTCTAAAAAAAAGCCCGGCTGGTGTGGCTCAGTGGATGAGCATCAACTCAAGCACCAAGAGGTCACCAGTTCGATTCCCAGTCAGGGCACATGCCCAGGTTGTGGGCCCGATCCCCAGTGGGGGGCATGCAGGAGGCGACCAGTGGATATTCTCTCTCACTGATGTTTCTATCTCTCTCCCCCTTTCGCATCCTCTCTCTAAAATCAATAAAGAAAAAATATTTTAAAAAATCAATTTAAAATTATTTTTAAAAAAACATAGGGTTCAAATCAAGGGGAAGAGAAAAATGTCTGTTAACTGTGGGATATTCATAAAATGGAGCACTATTCAGCAATAAGAAGGTAGACACAGTAACATGAATGAACCTCAGAAACATCACACTGCGTGAAAAGAGGCAGACCCCTGGGGCAACACTAACCTGCGCTGCCAGCAATGGGAACAGTGGCTGCGGACGAGCCTGGGACGGATGAGAGGGGCCGAGAAAGAGCTTGCGGGGGATGGGAACATTTCTCATCTTGACTGAAGTACCCGGTTCAGAGTATATACGTTTCACAAAACCTGTGGATGTGTCCTTTTACGATGGGTGTATTTCTCTCCATGTACATTGGACCTCCATGTACAAACATCTAGGTGTCAGTTCATTCGTGGTGACCCATGTCCCACTCTGCTGAGTGATGTTGATGCAGGGGGAGGCGGGGCATGGGGCCAGGGGCATGTGGTTAATCTCTGTACCTGCCTCTCAGTTTTGTGGTGACCCCGAAACCGCTCTAAAGTAATCAGTCTTTTTAAAAACAGAAACAGAAACCATCTGGAGGAGCAGCCCAGGTGTTCTGTGTTGATCAGAGAGTGTCTGAAACGCAGGTGCAGCTCTGGACACACACCTTACCAGAAGATCACCCAACAGCAGGAGAGCACCCAGAGGAGCGAGGGAGCCCCACCAGACAAGGACCCGGTGAAGAAACTGACTGTGGTGGGCTAGATGGAGAGGTTCTTCCAGGGAAAGGGGAAAGACTTCTTTCCTGTGGGCATCCACCTGGAGGGGGCGCCTATGGGGAGCAGAGACTACTTTCCTGGGTGAAGGCGGAAGCGTGTATTCTTTGGAAGGAAGACCTAAACCACCAACTCAAAGGCCCCTTCAAGTTTCAAACTACGAATTAGGAGAGACATGGTAAAGTTCTTCATGTAAGGACAACTATATATGAAAAGTCGGAACAGCCGTTGATTGAAGAAACCCCACTGTGTCAGTTATTCTGGTATAGTGATATGATTTCTATATTACTCTATAACATTATATATACAATATTGATATAGAACAATATATATATTACTCTTATAATAGTATAATAGTATATAGACTAGTGGTATAATTATACTAGACATTCTGATACAATAATCCATTCATCATTTCCAGCGCTCACAATGGCCTTGAAAGGGGACATCATCATACCTACTTTATTTCAACTTTACCTAAGAAGATGCAGGTTTGGGGACAGTAAAAAGCTCAAACTGGCAGAACTGGGATTCAAACCCAACTGTCTGCCAAGCTAGCATTCTTTTACCTACAACTCACGGTTTCTTATCTTCAGGGAGCTTCTTTGATTTTAAGAGTCTGTTAGGACCCTTGCAGTAAATGGCGATATCTGTGCCATTCAAAACACACTTTGATTTGCGGACTGAAGGTAAGTTTGGAGGACAAAGGATTGGGCAGAGAGAAGAAGGGTGAATGAAATCTGGATGCTTTGCCTTTCCTGGGGTTGGTCTGAATGCAAAGGGTCCCCAAGCTGGGCCACGATCCACACCAGAGTTTCCCCAGAGACATGCTCACTATGGCTACTCTCCCTCAGGTGTGACAACTGAGGGCAGCAGTGGTGGGGACACCTGCTTCCTGCCGTCTCGGGGACCCGTTCTGTCCCCACTCTGCACTTGCACCTTCCTTACCTCATCTTTGAAGAGTCGTGCTTGGTCCTCACAACCGGTCAGGGTCTGAACGAAGCCAAAGACCTTGGGAATCAAAGAAGACATGTTGCCAAAGAGACTGGGGCAGGGGAAGACAGGGAGGTGGGCTTATATGGCCTTGGTGCCTTCTGGGCAACTTTTTGCCTTTTCTTTCTTTCTCCCCCCCCCCCTTTTATTTTTGTTAATCCTCATCTAAGGATACTTTTCCATTGATTTTTAGATAGAGTGGAAGGGAGGGAGGGGGAGAGAGAGAGAGAGAGAAACACTGATGTGAGAGAGACACATCAATTGGTTGCCTCCCTCAACAGGGGCCGGGGATTGAACCTGCAACCGAGGTTTGTGCCCTTGACTGGGAATCAAACCCACGACTCTTTGGTCTGCAAGCTGATGCTCTAATCCCTGAGCCAAACTGGCCAGGGCAATGTTGCTTTTTCTTATCAGCCTAAGAGGATCCTTGTGTCTCTGTGCTGCTGGGTGTGTGAGCCTGCCTCTCCTGCTAGATTTCCAGCTAGGCTAGCAGCCTGTCCCTCTCCCCATCCACCAGGATGGGCCTACGGAGCAGTCTCGGTCAGTCCCCACTGGGCAGCTAGGAGGGACAGAGGACTCGAGGTGTGAGCAGGAGATCATGTCAGGGGCAGCGTCCAGCCCTGCCCAGGAGGGCCTCTCTTGAACCAGGGCGTCATGGTGAGAGGGCAAAGTGGAGGGAGCGGGAGGAGGGAGGGGCCTGCGATCCTCACCTCGTCGATGGTCCACTTGGCGACTGTGGAGGCCGAGATGCCCGCCACTCCTGGCAGGAGCTTGCAGTGCTGCTCCCAGCACACTGAGAGCGAACGGTCAGGGTGGGCGGACAGGGCGGACATGAAGAGGGACTGGTGGATGACATCGGCCGTCAGTGCTGGAAAGCAGAGGCAGAAGCTGGCAGGCCGCTGCCCAGGACTACGCTGGTCCCCGAAGCCCACCTGTGCCCATGCCACTCAGGAGGACCATGGCCCACTCCTGATGCCTCGCAGAGCCGAGAGGGCGGTCCAGATCCGACTCCTCTCTGGGGCTCACTCCTTCTGGGAAGGTGGGTTCCTCGCTTCACAGACTCTCAGGTCAGCTGTTTGGAAGGACCCCGTCCTCGTCCCTCTGAGGCCACACCCCCTGGGCCCGCAAGGCGGCTTCCTGGGAGCTGCAGAGCCCTGCACCGTTCCTGAGACACCTGGCATCCCAGCGGCCCCCCGCATCCAAGCAAGCGCAGCCCTGATATCAGATGCCCATCCGTTTGTCCGCCTGTCCCCCAGTCCTTCTGGGCCCTTACTAACTCGCTGTTGAATCTTGAGCAAGTCACATAACATGGGCCCCCGTTCCCCAACCTGTAACTGAGCAGGACATCTCTGCGGGTCCCTCTTGTTCTTTCACATGCTGACACCCAGGGGGCTGGGCTGGCCATCCGAGCAGGGAGGGCACAGCCACGCGAACCCTGGAGCCCACACCGAGGAGGTCTGCCCACAGATGTGTGAGAAGTCTCTAGAACAAAACCCAGAGTGACCAGTGTCGCCTCTGTAAGAGCCAGCTGCGAGAACAAGGGAGCCCTGCACAGAGGCGGAGGCCTGAGCTCTGTCCCGTTCTGTCCCTGCAGGGCCCAGAGGACCTCTCTGGGCCATAGCCTTGGTCTCTGGAGACCACCTGCCCAGTACCCAGGAAATTTCTGGAATGAACACAGTAGGCATGAGCCCCCTGGTGGTCAGAACATGGCCCTGCAATGGAAGCCGACCAGGTAATCCAAGGGCAGGTAGAAGAGGTGCCCGCGGCAGTCCCATCCCCCAGAGTCCTCATTCTGAGGGCCTGGAGGCAGGCCGAGACCCTCCCCAGGCCTGAGGCTGCAGGAATCACCTTCCGTCACCACCACCAGGGAACAGTCCAGAGCAACACCACGAGGGGGTCAGGCAAGAGATCAGGACTAACAAGGATTCCAGGACGTTATTAGCACTTTGCATGGCCATCTCGTCTAAGCTTCCCACCACCTGTGAAGACTGGCACCATCATCATCAGCACTTTACACATGAAGAAACGGAGGCTCCGAGAGGCAGCATCACCCGCTCAAGGTTTCCCAGCTGGTAAAGGCAGTCTGACTTCAGTACTGCCCAGGCGGAGACTGTTCCTGAAACGCTCGGACAACTCCAGTCCTGCCAGACGCTGTGATAAACCAGGTGACTGTTCGTGGTCTCCTCTTGCCTTCAAACGGTGCACATTCAACTGGACTCAGGCGCGGTCCCCAGGGTCCCTGCTGTGCGTCAGGCCCTTGCTACTGGTCAACGATGTGAGACGCATTCATCACGCTACAGAAGGCTCAGTCACCTTGTACGTCCCCTTGGAGCAGGCTCTTGGCTGAACTGTGTCCCCGCCCCCCAACCCACAGGTTAAAACCCTAGCCCCCAGGACCTCAGAATGTGACTGTAATTGGAGAAAGGGGCTTTAAAGAGGTGATTAAGTTAAAACAAGGTCCTTAGGGTGGGCTCTAATTCAATCTGACTGTCGCTTTTATAAGAAAAAGAATGTGGGACATATGGGGGGGCACAGGCATAGAGGAAAGACCATGTGAGGGCGCAGCGAGAAGGCAGACATCTGCACGCCAAGGAGAGAGGCCTCCGAAGAAACAAACCCTCCATACTTTGACCTTGGACTTTAAGCTTCCAGAAGTGTGAGAAAGTACATTTCTGTTGTTTAAGCCCCCAGTCGGTGGCACTTGGTTATGACAGCCAAGCTAAGACAAAGGGGGTTGGGCAGGGGACTGACACTGGGTTAGGTGCTTCACGTCTATTTTATCAGCGGCGCGTAGCAGGAGAAGTCAGACTCGACTTCGAATCCCCGCTCTGCTCCTTACAAGGTGAATGACCTCTCTCTGACCTTCTCACTTCTCTTCTCGCAGAAGGAGAGAATAACATCTGCAGTCCCGGACACGTGGGAGAATCGGCGACAGGATATGGAAAGCGCCTGCAACAGTGCTCGGCCTTGAGCAGGTGCTCAGTGACCCCTTGAGCAGGTGCTCAGTGACCCCTGTTGTTTCAGGTAGTTGACATGTGAAAGGCAGTTATTCACGTTTTCAAATAAGGAAACTGAGGCTCAGAGATGTTAAGTGACTTGCTCAAGGTCACCCAGCTAGGCAGGGACAGCCGGGGTTTCCCTCCCACAAAGCCTAGAATTAAGAACAGAGCTGGGGGCATCATCCGACCTCACAGTGGAGAACCAGAGGCCCAGAGAGGCTCAGTGCCTTCCCCAGAGACTCCCAGCAAGGCCACGGGTGAAATGGGACTGGAACCTGTGGTCAGTCAAGGCCCCGTCCTGTACTCTTGCCACTGCTCTGTGCTCCCAAGTATCTCAGGGGAAGAGATGCAACCTCCCTTCCAGCTTCTCCTCTCTAGACCCCACCATTCCACCAACTGTAAACACTGTGGCGGGCGTGGGAGTCATCGGCCCTGGACTTACTCGGGAAATCTTCCTGTGGAATCTTCCGATACTTTGGAGGGCGCCCAATCCTGGAGAGAGAGGGACCAGGTCCGTGGCAGGGAATCAGTGCCTGGCCTGGCCCAAGAGGACACGAGGCCCTGCACCCTTGCCCTCCGCACCGGCCATGATGGCGAGGCTTCTTCCTTAGGGAGAAGCCCGAGAGGTTCCTCTTACGGGCCGAGGCTTCCGAGTCGGACAGCTCCGCCTTCAGCCGGCTCTGGTTCCTCTCAGCCAGCGGGCAGCCCGAGAGGCAATGGTGAGCTGTGAACTTGCCTGTGACATGGCCAGACCCGTCACAACCAGGAGTGGGGCACTTCCTGGGGAAGAAGAAGGCGTAAGTTGGGCTGAGAGTCCGCTGCTTCCCATTAGCCCTTTCCAACCCTGGCCCCTTTCCAACCCTGGTCTTTGGTGAACTCTGGCCACACACAGCAGGTGTAAAACGGACTCTGAACCAGGCCCGAGGGTCCCTTAGCAGGAGCCCTTCCCTCACCGGTGGTGGAAGCTGTACTTGGAGGTCCTGGTGTGCGGCAGGCCCCGGTAGCTGAGAGGGGCACAGCCCCCCGGGGAGGCTGAGCTCAGCTCTCTGGGATCTGGAGGAGCAGGAAGAAGAGTCAGCACAGGGTCCTGGGGTGGAGGTGGGGTGAATGGAGGGCAGGTCAGCACAAGGAACTAGTTCCCCAGGGCCCAGGGCCCAAGCCAGGCTGTGACACCATTTCCTGCTACTGGATAGCTACCCCTCTGTGGAATGAAGGGCTTGGCTCTCACATGCTTCGTGAAACCTGCAGGCGTGTACCCTGTCTCCTCGGGGAAAGATCAACGCGGAGCTGGCGTGGGCACAGCTGTCCCCTAGGGGCCACGCCAGGCAGATGTGCGTTACTGTCTGTCTTCCTGTTTCACCCCCCACATTTTGGTAACTTTTATAAGGCTCTGCCCATGCTTGGGGAGCAATCGAGAAGGATCAACACCCCATGTGAGACAGATGTGGCAGCAGACGGGAACTAGGGGGCCGGGGGGATCTTGAGGGTGAGAACTGGGGCTGGGCAGTCCAGTGATCTGACCTCTAACCCCTGCCAGTGGGGGCCAAGCCTTTTCTAACAGAGCCGGGATTTTCTTAGCAAACGCCACGCATGCCCTGTGTGGCCCTGCCAGATGCCGTGGGAACTCCCTGCTGTGTAGCTACCTCCTAAGCACATGCTCCCAAGGGAGTTTCCCCTCCACTCCTCCATACCCCAAACCCAACAACCGGGGAAGCCAGAAACCCCTGGGCAGGGAGGAGGCGGGATCTCAGAGCTCACTATGGCCACCAGAGCCCTCTGTGTCAGACCTGGGCGTGCTGTCGGAGCGGGGGGTGTAAGAGCTCGGGATGGGGTGGGGCTGGACGTGAGTAGGAAGGGATCACGGTGCCCGAGGGGTACTCACGGAGAGGAGGCTGCAGGGGATGCCCTGTCTTGGAGCACCAGCCAGCGGGGTGGATGTCCGGGTGATCGGCATCGATCCAGAAGTCGTAGGCATGACTCCAGCCGTCAAAGTGGAGCTGGGGAGGAAAGGCCCCTGGAGGTCAGGCGTTCCCCGAGGACCAGCTCAGCCAGGAGGTCCTGCAGGCTCCAGGAGGCTCTGCCCATCCCCGGGCCTGTCAGAAGCAAGACCCTGGATTGGAAGAACCAAGGGGCCAACCCCCAATAATCCATCTTGGCTGCCATGTTTTCCAAGCGCTTCACTCATTAATTGATGGGCATCTCCCATTAATCCTGGCGTAGGACTAGGATTCCTAGGCCCATTTCGTAGAAGAGACTGTTAAGGCTCAGAGAGGGGAAATGACTTGCTCAAGCCCACAAAGGTAAGTCACAGATGAGGCTAGAAGGAGACCCGAGACCTTCGGCCTCAAGTTTAGAGCTTTCACCACAACGTGCAGCCTCCCTTGTCTGGCTCATGCCGTGCCCTTCACCTCTAATTAAGCTACAGAATTCCGGCCCAGCCGGCCTGTCCACTTCCCCAGCCCGAGGGTCTCAGAGCCACCTTTATCCGATGGTCCTCCACATCTTCCACACTGGCCACGCGGATCAGGGCGGGGTTCCTGCGGTCCACGGCCTCCAGCTTCATGTTGACCAGAAAGCTGTGCGGGGGTCGCTGCAGGGGGACAGCAGCCTTCAGGCCAAGGCCAAGTTCGGCAGTGCTGGGCCCCCAAGAAGGGAGTCCAAGGGCTGTGTCTGGACAGTCGGGGCCTAACAAAGTGGGAGCGGGGTGCAGGGCCACATCCTAGCTGGCCCAGGACTCCACGCCTCCCTGAACTCAGCTCTGGGGACGGGGAGAGCCAACTCACCACCTTGAAGGCCCAGGTGGGCACAGCAGAGGCCCCCGTTTCTTCCAGATATTTCTCCCAGCAGAAGCTATCAGGGTCTGGGTAGTCTGGAGGAGAGGATGGGAGCAATGTCCAGGCACCCAGGAGAGAGCTTATACCGGGAGAGCTTGTCCCTCAAGGAGGACCAGGAGCACAGAAGAGCTAGAGGCCCGTGGAGGACAATCTGCTCCAACACCACCACAGCCAGCTCCCCGCAGGGGGCTCCCGGGGCAGAGGGGTGCTAGCAAGCACATCACCACCTCCCAGTTTACAGGGCTGTCTGGGAACCCTGGCTCCCATCCCTCTCCTCTGCCCTGTTGCTCCAGCTCCAGCCCAGCCCCATCTGAACCTCTATCGTACACAGGCCCAGGCAATCCTCTGCAAGGGAAGGGTACCCTTTCTGCACTCTGGACTACTACGCCCTGGCTTGGGGGGTGGGGATCTAACTTTCTTCCCTTGAACCTCCACGCAGTTGGGGCAGACGGGACTCTCCTAAAATTAAAGGGTTCTCAACTCCCAGGCACAGAAGCTGAGGCTCCAGGACACATCTGTCCCCTCACTCTGGCCCTAACGACCCAGCTAATGAGGCACTGGTACAGGGTCAGGCTGCACGGTCACCTTGTGGAGGGGTGAGGGGCTTTCCTTGCTTCTGGCACCAGCCCACCGGGTGGATGTAGGGGCTGCTGGGGTCACACCTGAAACCCAAGAACACTTCACTGTCCCAAGTGAAACGAGGCCCTGAGCCTGCTGTCCTACAACAGCATGGTGTCAAAACCCACCCTCCTCGTACTGCTTAGTGAGAGTTAGACAGACGGCTGATGAGACAGTCAGGAAACAGCAGCATCAACTAAGAGCTCTGGTACCACAATCTTAACCTTGGTATTTTTATTTCTTTCTTTTGTCAATCCTCACCCAAGGATATTTTCCCACTGACCTTTAGAGAGAGTGGAAGGAAGGAGAGGAGGGGGAGACAAACACTGATGTGAGAGAGACACATCAATTGGTGCCTCCTGCATGACCCCAACCAGGGCCGGGGATCAAACTTGCAACCCAGGTATGTGCCCTTGACCAGAATCAATCCCACGACCCTTCAGTCTGTGGGCTGACGCTCTAACTGCTGAGCCAAACAGGTCAGGGCAACCTTGGTATTTTTTATTTTATTTAATTAATTAATTAATTAATTTATTTATTTATTTTTATTGCTCTTTTTAGAGATAGAGGAAGGGAAAGAGAGATAGAAACATTGATGTGAGAGAGAAACATTGACTGGCTGCCTCCTGCATGCCCCCTACCGGGGATCGAGCCTGCAACCTGGGCATGTGCCCTGAGTGGGAATCGAGTGGGACCTCCATGGGACAATGCTCAGTCTACTGAGCCACAGCAGCCATGTAACCTTGGTATTTTTACATGATTCATCGAATACTGCATTGTGGCCCTGGCCCGTGTGGGTCAGTGATTCTGTGCACTAAAGGGTCATGGGTTTGATGACCGGTCGAGGCACATATCCAGGTTGTGGGCCTAACAAAGTGGGAGCTGGGGAGGATCCCTGGTCAGGGCATGTATGGGAGGCAACTGGTTGATGTTTCTTTCTTGCACCTATCTCTCTCTCTCTCTCTCTCTCTCTCTCTCTCTCTCTCTCTCATCAATGTAAAAAATATATTCTTAGATGAGGATTAAAAAAAAATATATATATATATATATATATCATTGTGTTTCTTATGATATAGATCAAATCCACAGGACAGTCAATTACCCCCTTCCCCCGAACAAATATGAATGCCAGAGCTGGGCGAGGGCTCCATGGTGGCTAAGTTGTCAAAGTCTTGCCTCCCACCCCCTGCCATCCCCTCATCCCCCGGCCAAGTCTGGGACCTCTCACTACCAGTAGTCGTAAGTATCGTCCCAGTTGTCAAAGTGCACGAGGAAGCGGCTGTCCACCACGTCGGTCACACTGGCCACACAGATGAGGGATGGGTTCATTCGGTCGACAGCCTCCAGCTTCATGCCCACCTGGAAGCCCAGGGGTGGGGGGTTCTGGGGGCAAGAAGAGGGGCTGCCACGGCCAGGCCAGGCAGACTGGTACTAGCCTGGAGCCCACTGGCAAGGGAAGGAGTAGGTTCCCTACGATGATGCCGGGGGTTTGAGGGTGGGATAAATGAGCAAAATCATACCCCCGCCCAGAGTCACTTCTGACCTCCGAGGTGCACTCAGAGGAAGCCTCACTATGGCAGATGAGTGACTGGCAGGAGGCTACACATTCACCCAAAGTGTGCCTGGCTGAGCACAGCCTCCCCTACCCCACGAGACAGCTGTCATCGTCCCCATTTTATAAATTCGATACCTTGCCCAGGACCCCAATGCTAGTCAATGGTGGGCCCAGGACTGAAACAGTTTGACGTAAAAGTCTGCATCCCCTGCCACAATAGCAGGGAGAACCCCCCAGTCCCTTGGGAACCTGTAAGTATGGTCTCTGGGGCTGGACTGGGGGTGGAGCGTCACTGCCTGAATGGCACGGTAGGGTCCCTGGCCCAGGGGAACCCTGGATTTTTGATATGGTGGTATTTTTAATGGGGATTCCCTATATCTCTCAGACCTTTTGCTTGGGATTAGGAGATACTTGAACTGCTGTGTAAAGCTGCCGACTGCCTTGATCAGAGAAAAAGACAGGGGTGAGACTAAATGGGAGCCTCCATGTCGGGCAAAAGGAAGGAAGAGCAGCTCCCAGGATAGAGGCTTGGACCTCACATCACGGGCTACAGAGCAAACCAAAGCAAGAAACAAGAATGGTGACATCTCAGAGCCCAGGTAGAGACAGGGCACCAGGGCTTCTGGGGGGATGTGTGGAGAAGAGGACTTCCGCAGAGGGAACTGGGAGAGAATCTATGCCTGGCTTCCCCCTCTGGCCTTGGCCCACCCAGCGTGCACCTCCCATCTGGTAGGAGAGAACAGAACATAGTGGAGAGCACCGGTAGACGATCTCTCCTCTGGTAAGTCAGATACCCTGGGCCAGCTGCAATGACTCTATCCCCAGGGCAGGTGTCCACTCTGGCTCACGGGCACTCACGTGGCTCTGGCTCACAAACAGGTGCTTGGGGGCAGCCTGAGCTCTTGTGCTGCGTAGGTACTGACTCCAGCTGAACTCCTCCTCCTTGTAACCTAGGCCCCTCGGGGGGGTGGGGGGGACAAACAGCACCGTGCAGACAGAGGCTGGGCCGTGGTGAGGGTACCCCACACTGAAGCAGCAGAGTCAGGCAGGCTTGAGGACCCCACAACCCTCAAGAACCTGCCCAGGGACCTCCTGCCGAAGCAGGACACAATGTGGGTAGACAGTCAAAGGGCGAGGACAAAGCAGAAGCCCTGGGCCAATTCATAGCAGGAGGTGATGAAGAGAAGCTGGCTCTGCAATGGGGAAAGGGAAGGGAAACCAAGGGAAAGAAGGGATGGGTCTGAGGGCCACTGCTTCACTGTAACCAACTCAGCTAGGCCTTACCTTTGGGGGGCTGCAGCTTGTGTCCAGTCTTCTCAAACCAGCCAGCCGGGTGGATGTCAGGGGAATTGGCATTGATCCAGAAGTCATGGCACTCGGAATATCCATCAAAGTGCAGACGTAAACGATAGCCACATACCTGGCCCCATGAGGGGGAATCACAGGGACTCTGATGCCAGCCCTTTCCCTACCTCTCCTGCCCAGCCCGGTCATCTCAGGGGCTCCAATGCTAGCAGGCTCCCCACCTCCCTTCACTCCCAGGTTTCCCCCCATCCTGAACCTTGTCCCACACTCTCCCATTCTGCAATGGGGGAAGTTCAAGTACTTGTGAGCCCTGAGTTCCACGTACAAGACAGGCAATCCTATGGCATCATCCTGCCCTTTAAGACCTAGACAGAACCCCAAGGTCACCTACCAGGGCTCAGGCCTGCTCAGGGCAATGACCTCTCCTTCTGCTACCTTCTCTCTCTGCTCTCCACGCGCACACTCTGCTCTGGCCTCACTGAGTTAATGGCAGCTCCTGCAACATGTGGCCTGTTCCACGCCCCCGAGCCCTTGCTCACTTTGCTGCGTCTGCCTGGGACACCCTAGTCATTCACAGCTCATCTCTCAAGATTCAGCAAAGGAGGCCTTCCTCTGTGAAGCATCTCCTGCCCCCTCGGTGCCTCTCTGCTCTTGTCTGTCCCACACCTGTGCTATGTCGCCGAAATGTTTACCTGGCTGATTCCCACACAACTGTGAGCTCCTAGATGACAAGGACCTTGTTGGACCCATGCCAATACCCCTGCCCTTGGGGTCTCCTCCAGTTCCCCCAGCACTGAAGTATACACCCATTTAGTACCATCACCACCCTTCACACTTCATCTGGTTTTTGTTCAGTTTTTGGCTTTCTGTGTGTTCCACCTTAATCCCCCGCTAGACTGTGTGTGTTCCGAGGGCAGGACTGTGTCTCCCTCATCTGACTTCGGGTGCTCCGTGCCTCAAGCAGCCTCCATCAGTCTAATGAGAGACATCATCAGAACGGTGGTGCGAGCTTCAGCTCACCTCGGCCACGGTGAGGATGAAGTACATGGATGGGTGCTGAGGGTCGATGCCTTCCAACTTCATGCCCAGTCTGAAGCCATTCTTGTTATGAGTGACCACCTGGTACTGTCAACGCACAGATTGGAGAGGACCCAGCTTCCATCCAGCCTTATCTTTGCCTAGTGGGCTTGGGGTGAAGGAGCTGCCTTTAGGCCCCACCCGCCAAAGGGATAACTTATTTGGGGATCTTTAGTGCAGGGATTCAGAGAGGGACAGAATAGCTTCTGGTTCTCTTGAAAAACATGGGCTGAACTGATGGGTTTCCTCCTACCCACGTCAATGAAAGATCAACATATAAAATTGAGTAGAAGCTACCAGAATTCAAAAGTCTGCAGTCCCAGTGATGGCTGAGCCTGAGTTCTACCTCCCTATTTCTTCCCACCCTGGATGTCCCTTATAGTGGTCTCTTTTCTACTCTGGGGCCCTGAGCAGTCTCTTCTCTTTCCATTCTGACAGTCCTTTAGAGAGGTCAGACACAGAAAACACCAGAAGGCCTGAGTTGGGTGGCAATTCCCTTGACCGGGAATACAAGCACTTCCTAGGTGGAAATTGTCCCACTCACGTCCTGGAAGAGGCTGACCGGGGCAGTGATGGCCTTCTGCTCCTCCAGGTAGGATTCCCATGACCAGCCTTCCTTCTTCTCCCCTGACGCTGTGGACAGGAGACAGACAGGCTGACATGGAAGAGTGGACATGGTAATGGAGAAGGCCCAAGGGCCAAGGCTGACCATGAATGAACTTTGTTCCTTTTTTCTTGAACCAAAGGATCAGAATGGGACCAAAACAGCAAGGTCAGACCAGTGACGAGTACACACTTGCTCTTACCACCAAAGGGAAGCAATGCCATGTGATACTCAAGTGTTTGGACACTGGGCCTGGCAGTGAGGCCTACTTACAACGGGATAGGGGATAAACAAACAGATGATATAAACCCCAACAAAGAACACACACATACTAATACACAAACCATGAAGATTGTTTTTCTCTCATACTCTCTCACACACACTAACTCATATTCATCTATATATATACAACACACCATCACAATGGTAACCTATACTCCCAGCCTCACACCTCCAAATGTGTATACACACATCACATGAATATATACACACAGGCCACCATACCAGGCTGGCTGCTGCTCCACTCCTCACTTTCTGGGGTGCTAGCAGTGGCTTGTCCCTCTGGATCCTTTCCTTCTTCTTGCTTCTCCTATGGAAGGCAAACCTGATTCCAGCTTCCTGTCCTCATGGGTCTGAGAGAAGCCCCAGTTGCTATTCCTGGCCCTTGCCTGGCTCTCTGACCATATGGCGTTTTGGAATTTCTTCTAGGCCACTAGCAGAAACACAGCTCCAGGAAACAGTCCCTTAGTGGGCACAGACTGACATGAGCACCACCTCCACACACAGCTCCACAACCTGACTACGATTTACCTCATTCCCAGGTGGGGAAACAGGACACAAACACCTGCCCTGTGCTGATCTGCCTGCCTGCTGGAACTTTCATGCTCTGTCTCTTCCAGCTTCTCTGCAACCAGAGCCCTGTGCTCCCTGGCCCCTGGCACAGTGACCGCTCCAGCGATGGAGCTTTCCATGTGTCCACACAGCTATCTTGGGTGCCGGTTCATGTGAGTGTTTTAGCCCTGACATTAGACTGAGATGGGAGCTCCATAAAAGCAGGAGAGTGATTTATTCATTCCCTTCCAGCCAGGTACAGGACCTGACCCCAGGATGAGACCCTAAAATATGAGGAGTGAGTCATTAAGTGTCTTCCCTGGCCCAGCCCCATGACCTGGACTGATGGAGAAGATAGTGGGCACTGAGAGATAGCCTCTAGCTTCCCCCTCCCTCCCACTGTCCCCTCCCTACCATAGCATCTGGCTCCGACTCCTCCTCTGATGGGCTCTGGTATTCCCTGTGCTTCCTCTTCTTCATGGGTTTGAGGAGCTCAGAAGTGCTGGTGCATGAGGAGTGCTGGCCAGAGTTCTCCACTATGACTGACCTGAGGGAGGGGCAGCCTGAAGGAAAGAACCAGGTACCCCCGGCCCCTCTCCTAAGCCATAAACAGGAATGGGGCTTTGGGGCCCCAAAGCAGAGCAAGTAGAGGGGTAAGCCCTGCCCCTTACCGCTCCTGGAACAGCGGGGGGCAGCCATCACCGGAGGAGCCAGGATCTGGACAGGGGCCTTGCTGAGGCTCACACGCCTGGCACTGGCAGGTGCCATCATCCTCTGGGGGATCCTGAGGGGTATCTTCTGGAGGGTCCTGGGGGAGGTCCGCTGTGGGGGCCAAGGGGGCCTCAGGCCGCTCATCCCAGCCCAGACACACCTAGGCTCCTCCCATTTCGGAGCCCACGTCCCCCAGGCCCTGCCTCTACCTTGGTCCCACCTTCTCGGGCTCCCCTACTGGCCATCGCCCCCCTCCCCCCGTCCCCCGGAGCTTTCTCCACCTTAGGACCAACCCCTGGGTGCACCTGCAGGAACCCGAGCCTCACCCCCGACCGTGGCTCCTCAGGGAACTCAGACCTCGCCCCACCCACACAGGGGCCCAGCTCGGGGCCTGGGGCTCCTACCCGACTGTTGGGTGCCCGCATCGCCACCTCCCGCCGGGGCCTGGCCAGCTTCGTACTCGGCCACGCCTTCCCGCCGCAGTTCGGGGCTCGGGGGCTGCTCCGCTCCCACCATGTTCAGTGGCGCGTACTCGCTTATCCGAAACTGGAGCGCGGTAGGGTCTCAGGCCGGCGACTCCGGCACCGGCCCTCGACCTGCCTTCGGGGCGGCGCGGTCCCTCTCCCGCCTCTTACTCAAGCCGCGCCCCCAGCATCCCGCGGGGCTCCGCTCCTGGGTGCCTCGCCCCAAGCCACGCCCCAGACACCTGCAGGCCTCGGCCCCCAGCGCCTCACCCCAAGCCACGCCCCTAAGGCCCGGTCCCAGAGCCCTTTTCTAAGCCACTCCCCCAGAGCCCACTCCCCAAGAACCACATCTCCACAACCCCACGTGTCTCGAGCTCTGAGTGCCTCACTCCAAGCCTCGTCCCCCGAGTCCCTCGCTCGGAGCCCCACCCACTGAGTCCTACAGCTCCGTCTGCTTCGTCCACTTGCCACCTCAGGCCCCGCCTCCGGGCCCGCAAGTCCCACCCTGCAGCTGCGGCTGGCTGGGCCCCGCCAATCCCCAGGGACACTGACCCGCAGGCCGCTCCCAGGAGGCGGGGCCTCGGCCTCGGTCCACTCCAGCAGCCGCACTGTGCTGGCGCTGGAGCTGGCCGCGGGCCCTGCGCTTAACTGCGGCAGAACGGTGGCGGTGACAGGTACGCTGCCGGTCACTCGCTGCGGGGCGCCCACATGCATCGGCTCCCGTGGAAAGCAGGACACATCCAGGGAACTGCTGGGCAGGCCAAGAGTGGCAGAGTTGGCTGTGAACAGATACACGAACAGACACGACACAGGTGAGCCTGGTGGCTCGGCAGGTGAAAAGTATCATCTTCTCCCCAGGATCCACACCTGCTTGGGTAGGTATGGGGATGCGCCTCCTCCCCAGACCCCTGGCTTGGCCCACCTGGAATGATGAAGGCAGTAGTGGGCAGGTGAGGGCCGGAACCTGGGCTGTCTCTGGCCACCAGGTGCACGCTGACCTCCCCTGTGGAGGGCCCCTTCAGTGTCCTCAGCATTTCCATTTCAGCATGCCCCTCCATCCTGGTAGGCCTACATGCGGAACACAGCCCCCGGGGTGATCAGGGAGGAGAGGGGCTTCTTTGAGGAGGAGCTGCCCACTCTCAGAGAAAAGTGTGAGCCCCGAGGGGGGTAGGGTGTCTTAGGAACTCAAAATCACGTCTAACTACTGGCTGTAACCAGGTCACCCAGGTGACCTATCTGGCCAGGCCCTGCACTTCCCCTAGTGTCGTAAGATGGGCATGTGTGAGGGTGCTTTGTAAACTGTGACATACAGAACTGACTCTGGGGACTATGTCTCAGGCCAAGGTTCTGTCTGGCCAGCTGTTTCCATGGCATAGCCCAGGCCAAGTCCAAACTCCACTCTTTTTCAACCTCTACCTCCACCCCCACTAGAATCACTCCCTTCTCCCTCTGGGGTCTCAGAGCCCTCAAGCACCAGGCTCTCCCTCACTTGTACAGGTCCATTTCCCCAGGAGGTGATCTTTCCTGATCATGTTCTTTTATGCCCCTTGTCTACCACTTCCTCCCCAAGCACACTGGGCACTCAAACATCGGTTGTTGAACAAAGAGGTAGTGTAGCCCGGCCAGTGTGGCTCAGCAGTTGAGCATCAACCCATGCGCCAAGAGGTCACCGGTTAGATTCCTGGTCAGGGCACATGCCCAGGTTGTGGGCCCAGTCCCTGGTGAGGGGCATGCAAGAGGCAGCCCATTGATGTTCTTTCTCATCGATGTTTCTATCCCTCTCTCCCTTCCTCTCTCTCTAAAAATCAATAAAGAAAAAAAATTTTTTTTTAATTTGTGAAATCATGCCTGGCCAGTGTGGCTCAGTGGTTGAACATCAACCTATGCACCAAGAGGTCGCTGGTATGGTTCCCAGTCAGGGCACATACCCAGGTTGTGGGCCTGATCCCCAGTGGGGAGCATGCAGGAGATGTCCAATCAATGTTCTCTCTCATCGATGTTTCTTTTTTTTTTTTTTTTATCCTCACCAGAGTACATTTTTGCATTTATCTTCAGATAAAGCGGGAGGGAGAAAAGGAGGAAGAGACAGAGAAACATCGACATGAGAGAGACACATCGAGTAGTTGTCACCCACCCACACACCCCAACCAGGGTGGGGATAAACTGCAACTGAGGTATGTGCCCTTAGCGGGAACCGAACCTGGGATTCTCCAGTCCGCGGGCTGACGCTCTAACCGCTAAGCCAAACCGGCCAGGGCTTATTGATGTTTCTCTCTCTCTCTCTCCCTCTCCCTTCCTCTCTCTCTAAAAAATTTTTTTTAAATTTGTGAAATCTTGATAGCAGAAGGCCTTCAATAAATACCACACCACTCCCTTTTAACAAGAATTCCAAGGAACTTGGTAGCTTCTGGCCAATAACATATAAGCTGCTTGCTTGCAAAATCAGCTTGCAGTAGTTCCTTTCTCTCCCACCCTCCCTCCTGCTGTTCTTTTTCCAGCCTTTTCTCTTTAAAATACAAAGTCAATCCTCCATATTATAGAGTAGATAATCAGGTTGGCAAAGGTGAGATATATAACCCGTTTAATTAAGACAATATTCAAACCAAGATTTGTTTCCCCTTTTATACTTATAGAATTCCCTGAATTTCACCTCCAATTATTTTGCTTTGCACAGCTGACATACTATTTGTACTGAAGTTATATTCAATGGAGTCAATCTGTTTATTCAAAACATTGCCAGCCATTAAGAGTGACTGTGGTTACTCTTGAAAGAATTCCATCCTGTTTCAAACCTATCACGTGTTTCAGGTCTGTCAATGAAGAGTAACTGAGAGGACTACCCTTCTGTTCAGGCTTACTGCCTCTTCTTCAGCACACACTGCAGGGCCAACTGGGTGTCAGCATTATTCTGTGCTCTGGGAATACAATCTCAAATAAGACCAACTGCTCTCATGAAGCTTACATTCTAGAAATAAGGGATAAAGTTGAGGCTGGGGATATAAATTTGAAAACCATCATGAGTAGATGGCCTTGAAAACTTTAGGACTGAATAAAGAAAAAGGTGGGAGCCTTGGAGCTCACCAAGATTTGTAAGTGGAAGATATAGCAGAAGAGAGGTGAGAGGAGATGCAGAAGAGTCTGGGTTTCTGGAGGACACATGAAGCAGTTTTTCAGGAAGGTGGAAAGCTCAATGGTGTCAGATGCCACTGACAGATCAAGTCAGATGCGGGCTAAGAGCTGACCATTTTAGCAATAAGGAGGTCATCAAAACCTTGAAGAGAGCCATTTCAGAAGAGTGTGGGCAACAGAAAACTGATCGGAGGGGGTTCTAAAGGGAAATCACTGATTAGTTCAATGCTTATTGAGTGCCTATGATGTGGCTGACATTGTTCTAGGTAATGCAGATGGTCAGTGAACAAAACAGACACCTCTGCCACAAAGTCTACATTCTAATGGGGAAACTGACAATAAGGACAGGCACTGTAGGAGAATAGAGACAATGGGTCTAACAACCCTTTCAAGGAGTTGGCAAGTGAAGGAGAGGGTGGAAATGGGGCTTGGTATTTGGAGAGTGATGTGGTCTCAAGGAAGAGTTCTTTGGTTTTGCTTTTAAAAATAGGAAATGTGCCCAGCCAGTATGGCTCAATGGTTGAGCGTCAACCCATGCACCAAGAGGACATCGGTTCGATTCCCAGTCAGGACACATGCCCAGGCTGTGGGTCCAATCCCCAGTGGGGACATGCAGGAGGCGGCCAATTGATGTTCTTTCTCATTGATGTTTCTATCTCTCCCTCTCCCTTCCTCTCTAAAATCAATAAAGAAAAAAAAATGATCTTAAAATAGGAAATGTTACAGCATATTTGTAGCTGATGAAAATGAACTTATAGAGAGGAAGAAACTGACAGTGCAGGAGAAAATGAATAATTCTAGCAGACAAGTCTTTGACTGTGCAGGAGAGGATCATCCAGTGCACTTGTGTATTGGGACCCATTATGGAGCTGTGGGCTCCTGACTAGCAGCACCTACCAATTCTGTGTTCTTTCTCCCTAACTAGACTGCTCGCTTTTCTGAGGCCTGGAACTGCCTTCTCTATGATTTGAATTCCCCTCTCCTTTACCACTACCACCCCTGTATTTGCAGCTTACATAGCATTTTCATAAGGTCCCAGTAGGTTCACATAGCAGCACAACTGGTCTGATGAGGCTCCTAGGCCTGAGCCAGGTATCCCTGCAGTCCGGTCACACCTTCAGAACCTCACTTCTGTGGCTTCTGCACATGGTGTTCCTTTTGCTTGGTACCTTTCCACATCGCATATTTCTGGAAAACTCCTAATCATCCTACAAGATGCAGCTTGAGTGACTCCCCGAATCCACCCCCAAAGCAAAGTCAATCACCCCCTCCTGTGTTCCATTCCAGCACAATCTATGCATTAACTTCTCTGTCTTCCCCAGACACAGAACAAAGCACCTGGTGTGCAAAGAGCCGGATCCAGAGATTGCACTCCACAGATAGTCACTGGATGAATGAATCACAGATCTGGGAGTAAAGAGTGGTCAATAATATAAGAAACAAATGGTACTGAAATTCACAAATAGCTTAGCCATTCTTGCCTTAGGGTCTAGATGACCATTTCCTCCTCCTGTGCTCCTCAGAGGCTGGGGGAGGAGGGGATAAAGTGGGAGGTCCCAGACACAGTGAAGGCTGTCACTGGTAGCCTTCAGCTGTCAGCTTCTCTGCGAATTACCCTCAGTCAGGGGAGCTGCCTCGCCCAAGTGCCCTCTCCTGGAAGCAACTATCCAGTTGACCAGTTGATACCAGTTATAAAGGCCCCGCCCCCTTGCCTCAATTTGGGACACCTCTTCGAGGCCATCTGGGCTCCAGAGCTTCCCTTGGGACAGGCTGAGGCCTCTGTTGAGACTACACAGGCAGTTCAACTTCTTTGCTAACCACCTACTGTCTTCCCTCCTCTACCGGTGATATTCCCAAGGGCACCCAGGGAACCTCACTCAAGCCTGCCTCTCAGAGTCTTGTTTCCAGGGAGCCCGACCTACAACAACCCTTGGTTCCCCAGCCCAGAGTTGTGTCTAGCACATAGCAGATGATCAATAAATATTTATTGAATAAATGTACTGTGTTTATTTTCCCTTGGTCTCTGTCAGCCAAGGTTCCCTTCGCACTTTGCCCTTCAAGGCCTCCTTGTATACAACAGACGCTCAATAAGTGCACTCGCTCTAGGTGTTGGGGGTTGGGAGCTGGCGCCCCAGACAGAACCCCGACGCGGCCGGGACGCCCGAGGGGATGGAAGCGGGTTCCAGGGTCGGGACCCGCCGCCCGTCTTCCTTCGAGTCCTCCCGGGAATAGTACAGACAGTGGCGGGCGGGGCGGTCACTGATCCGTCAGCCCCGCAGAACAATTATTTTTTAAAACGCCAAAATGGCGGAATTCTTTTTATTCTTTCCCTTTATGGCAAAAAATATTAATTGTCAGATTTTCCGTTATACAAATCGGAAATGAACGGAAGAAAAGAGAAAGTTTGCCAAATGACCCATTTCCTAAGGAAACCCAAACCCCGCCCTCTACTACACCCTCCCATTAATGAAAAACTCTTAATTGACTGCATTTCTCTAAAAACGGAGCCTCCTCTCTCCCGGCCTCCAGATCGCCGCCCGCAGCAGCAAGGCGGACGCCCCCAGCCCCGCACCCGCCGGGCCCCGCACTCCGCCCAGACCCCCGTCTGCCCCGCTCTCCCGAACCTCCTCCCCAGCCCGCGCTCCCCGCCGGAGGCGCTGGGAGGGAGCAGCGCACCGGAGCCGCAGACCTGGGCCGTTGCTGTGCGGGGCGGGGCCGGGTCGCGCCGGGGTCCCGCACCCCGGTGTCCGAGCCCACTGGCCTGCGATCTCCCTACCTGCGAGGCCAGCCTGTGGCCGCCCAGCGCCGAGCTACGGTCCGAGCCCAACGCGGCACGCGCCTGCGCGCTCTGGGGAGCGGGCCCGCCTCCCTGCAGGACGCCGGGCGCCGGCCGCGCGCGGCGCAGATTTGGGGGGCGCGGACCCGCGGG